TTTTAAAAAAAAAAAAATGGTTATGACATGGCAAGAAGAAAATGTAGCTATAAACATTAGCGAGCTTACATCCAGTAAGCTCGCTAATGTTTATAGCTACATTTTCTTCTTCATGTGTACTGGATGTTTGAGAAGGACTATAAATAGACTTTTACTGTAATCAAGTGATCTTGACATCTAAGACATTCTAAGCAATAAAATCTTAAAAGACTAGTAAAAAAACAGGTTTATTGTTAAAGAGAGAGATTAAACATCCATTGTTAACTGCTGGGCAATCAAGAAAAAACCATATTTACCTAATAAATAATGTGTTAGTTCACATGGTGCAACATAGACTTCATGTCTTAGACTTACCTAGCTGCATTGGAGCTCCAAAAACTAAACTTACTGCAAGAATGATCAAACAATAAATGCAGTTTGAAAACATCAAAATATTCAATATTCTTATTATAATTTATAATAATTATTTTTCAATTATGTTTATATGGTCTCAAATATTCTTAGATTATTTTTTAAAATTTTAAAATAATTCTGTATTTGTATTTTTTTTACCCTGCTTGAAAATTAAAGAGTTCTAAATTTTAAGTATAAATTTTAAATGTTTCGAAAATATTTAATGAATATTTTATTTTATCATATCTATTTTTATTTAGTTATATTTTTAATTAATCTATCTTTTAATATATTTTTTTAAATTTTAGGTAGATGTATGTCTAGCAAAAGCACTTTCAGAAAAACTTTTTTTATTTCAGGTGAGCTAAAGGAAAAAAGCTTAATTTTTTATTTTTAACTTATGATTTTATTTTAATAATTATCATTTCAGGTTGCTACTATTAACAATAGCGCTCAAAATAATAGCTGGTCAATAATCAAAGATCACCTATTTTTATTAAAAAGATGACTCTAAAACCAATTCTGGGTGATCAAACATGATTGGAATAAATTGCAAGTCAAAATTTTACAAAAAAAAAATTTAAAAACAAAAAGTTATGACTCCTATAATACCACCAGAATTATATTAATTTATCAAAAATACTATATGTTCTCGATTTGCAGAAGAAATAATTTTTGAAAACGTAACTATCTTTAGTTTGAATTGCAAATAAATTACAAAATTTAGCATTTTTTGACCATCTGATTATAAAGTAATAACACAAGTTTATGGCTGTAAAAGCATTGTTTTGAGAGCAGCAATTTAAGCAAAATAAATTATTTTTTGTTCTTAGAAAAAAATTGCTAAATAAATAGATTTTTTCACTAATATTGTTAAAAAAAAATAACATATAGTTGATATTTCAGTATAAAAAATTGATTATAAACTGATTTTTTAGTATTGGTTAAAATGAGCCTTTCTTGTACATTATTTAGTTTTAAAATACAAAGCCATATAATATGTAAAATACTGTTTCTTGTCCTCTTGCATCATGAGCTTACTAGAAAGTAGAGAGGAAATTTAAAGAGTAATTGTGTGATGAAAGACTTAAAAATGTGTTAGCCAAGAAAGTAATAAAAATATTGGAGATTATTTCAAAATACTGATGTTAGAAAAAAAAAAAAAGATAAATAAATTTTTTTTAAGCAGGATGAAACAAACAAAAAAGTTTAAATTTTCAAAAATGGGACAAAGATAAGCTTTAAAGCTAGAGCAGGTCCATTTATATTTACGGTGTTGATGGACCTTGTATTAAAGAGAAAGAGCATTTATAGAAGATTCAACCATAGTATGTCAACCTATTTCATGAAAGGACAGATAGTCCTTTCAATGAAATAGCTTGAAATTGACACAGAAGTGTTGATTTTGAGCTGTCTCGGAAGTGAAATCACATTTAAGCTGTTTTAAGCGACTAAAAAGTGATGGTTTTTTTATCAATACTAAAATAAATAGAACTTTTAATACTCTGGTCATGATTGGTTTAATGATTTTTAAAACTTTCCAAATGCATCATATGAAAAGAGTTTATGGAGAAAATAAGCATATTGGCCTTAATCCAAAGCCTTTAAAATGTTAAGAGCAAAAGCTTTTGTCTTAAAGCTTCTATCAAATGCACAATAAAGTATTTATGTTATAACAGTTAACAATTCAGCAGTTAAGCAAAAGGATTTGAATCTGTATTGATCATCAGAGAGTAAATTTTACTATGTTTGTTAATAAACTCACCTTCCAAAAGCTCCAGAGGAGGTGGCTACAGTTGAGAAGGTTATATAAACTATTTGACCGGCATCAGATCAGCACAAACTTTTTAACACAAAGGTTTTCCAATAACAACATTGAGGTAAACAAAAATTTGCCTAACGCAAATACATTTAGGTCAGATATTAGAAACAGTTTAAAGGTTGTTAATAAAAACTAATTGACTGAAATGACAAAAATTGAAAAGTTGATGATCGAGTATATTTGCGGATAAAATTTGCTTTAAATTTTCACCTAGTTTTTGTTAGCATAATAATTTATTTTTTTATTTCACTTTTTGTTTTTGTGTATTATATTATGGGGGTTATCTTTCATGTTATGGGGTTTATGCTTGATATTATGGAGCTTATCTTAAATTTTATTGGGCTTTTGTTTTCAAGTCAAATAATTCACAAAAAATGTTTATCAAAAAATATATATATATATCAATGTTAAAGAATAAATTTTTAATAAAAATTATACAATATTATTTTTTTATTTTTTGCTGTTTTTATTTTAAATTTCAAATTACTAAATATATTCATATTTTAAACTGGGAGGCTTCCCTCTTAATTAACATTTTCACTTCTCCTCATAGCTTTTTTGTTATACTTTTTGTGAATTTACCAAACATCAAAAAAAAAATTTTATAGAAATAAATAATAAGAAAATAATGAGAATTTTAATCACAAATTCTTGATACTAAAAAAGTTCAAAAAGAATGTTTCAAAAAGAATTTTTTTTTTTTTTTTTTGTTAATTCACCTTTTCAAGGTTGAGAAATTAATTGAGAATATAATTTTGGTTATAACCCTCTCTCAACCCATTAACTCCAAAACACGAACTGGTGCGTGGTGGGGATCGAACTCCGAACCTCTCATTATGAAACGAGTGCCCTACACCACTACTGCATATGTGAACCTTTTTAACCCAAATTTATTTTTATAGAAAAAGTATAGTAAAAAGATTTTTCATAATTCATTATTTGATTAATCAGTTGATGAATTCGTATCTATTAATGTTTTTAAAATAGTTTTGCTCTTTTTGAGTAACTTTTTGATTGTGTGGACCACACAATCAAACTTTAAACATCTAAAATGTTGGGTAAAACTAGCATATTGCAACACCTTTTGTAAAAGTTATAAGTTTTTTCTATTACTTGGTCCAAAAATGTATCATTTTTAATATTTCGAAGCCAGCTTTTTTTATTTAAAATATTTGTATCATACATATCAGTGATTATATTACATGTTTTTAAATGCTCTATAATTGAATTAAATATTAACTTGATAAGAATAGTCTAACTAAATTGTTAATTGCAACACCCTTGAAGAAGTTGCAAAACCCTTGAAAAAAGTCTTTCCAGCTATTTCAGTCACTTTGGCTAGGAAAGGTTTTACTGTTAGAAATTGACAAATTTTACGTTTTGAATATGATTAAATTAGTTTATAAATTATTGAATAATCCTAAATGAAGCTGTGATCACTTTAAAAAGATTTTTACAACATTTTCACTGGCGCTAGAACTTTAATAAACAATGCAACATAAAGAAAAATTCTTAAATTTATTTCTTGTGGTATGATTTAAATTTAGCTTAATTAAAGGATATTAAAAGAAGTATTAATAAAAGTATTGATCCTTCATCATATTTTTGTGATGTGTAAATGTTTGTCTAATATCATCTCTATTGCTTTAACTTTATGCGCAATACATTGTATACTTAAAAATGAGACAAGATTTTCGGATACATTATTTACTTTATATATGTAAAAATTTAATTAAGAGTATAAGCTGATAAATCCATCATGCATAAGTAAAATGGTAGTAAATATAACATTAATAAATCAAGCAAAAAACCATATTTTCTAATTTTGAGGGCTGGTTTATATCTGCATCCATCCATCTATTTCTTTCTCTCTCTCTCTCTCTCTTTATATATATATATATATATATATATATATATATATATATATATATATATATATATATATATATATATATATATATATATATATATATATATATATATATATATATATATCAGCGACGTATCCAGGCCGATTTTAATACCGGTATACCGGTATGGGCCCCCTAAATTTCTGCCCAAACTTATATTTGGTAAATACTGAGAACCTTTTTTTTTTTTTTATTTTGTTGGTTTCTCTAGTTGGTAAACAAATACATAAAAAGTATTAAAACTTGTTGTCATAATTACAAAATTGTTTTTATGTTGTTTAGAAAAAGCAACATTTGCAAACGACTTAAAAACAGATTATTAATGTATTTTAAGTCAATCAGAATGTCTAATTCGAATTCAAGCGGATGAAATATGGATACGTTACTATTGGATTAAAATGTAAAATGCGCGTTTTGATTGGATTAAAATAAGAAATGTATTTTATATTTTTATAATTTCTTTCATAAAAAAATTAACTTGAAAAAAATATACTTAAAATGAGTTTCTCGTCCGCTTACATTTTGATAACTATAATTTACAATTCGATTAAACTCTATAAGCTTTAAACTTAATCATTTTAAATAATAGTAAAATTGCAGTGAAAATGTAAATAAACTGGTTTGAGTTATAAAATAAATAAATAAAACTTTTTTTAAACATAATAAAATAATAACCCCAAAAAACTTGATTTAAGAGAAGAATAAAAAAAGTTATTAACTTTTGAAATAAGAGAAAAAAAAAAGTTATTAACTTTTGAATGAATGAGTGACCTAGTCCTGTGTTATAAATAAATTAACGACCTTGCAATGTTATAACGCATTTTGTTTTTATAAACTTTAATTAATAAAATTTGTTTGCAAGAGTTTGTTAAGTACGTTTAACTTACGTAATATGGGTCGACCAAAGACATCTTGTAGAAGCCACAACAAAAGTTCGTCCACATACAGATCTTTCCACAGTAAAAATAACAATGCAAATTCTAAACTAAAGTCAATTTTTGAAGCATTTGCTGTTAAACAAACTACAAAATATACAAAATAAGTTCAAGAAGTGGTAGATCAGCAGTTGATTCCTAAAATAAGAACAAACAAAAGCCCTATCCCTAATATCCCTTATTATCGGGCGTGAATCAAACGAAAGCCCTATCCCTAATATCAAGGAACATTTACTAGATGGACGTGTGTACATGATGTGTCACCAATCTCAACAAAAATGGGAAACAATATTTCCATTTGCTATTTATTCTGCAAAGGATCAAGGTTGGTTATGTAGTATATGTATTAAGAATATGGGGATATTGGAGAAGTGTGGAGAACTAAAGGCGCGAAGCTTTTTGAACATCCACAAAGGACATTTACTGCACATCAAAATTCAAAGAGACACCAGGATGCTGCCGAAAAACGTCAACAGGTCAAAAAAATACTTTTAACCAAAGGAACTGTATACAATCTGATGGTTGATGACAGTTCGCTATACAGAATTGCGGGTAAACAGCGCAACCGTAATGTCATAAAAAAGTTTTTTAAAACTGTTTATTTTGTAGTTAAAAAGAACTGGGCAGTCCGGGAAAACTTTAGTGATATCGTTGAATTTATTCGAGATCTTGGCGATAAGGAGATAGATTCACACTTTAAAATTGTTAGCAAACGAGCGACATACACATCATCAACTAGTGTTGATCAGTTCATCAAAATAATAAGTGATAAATTAGACAATGACGTTTGCACAAAAATTATTTTGGCCCATGACTTTAGTGTTCTTGCTGATGAGACGAGTGACGTAGCAGATAAGACTGTCTTTTCTGTTTTCATTAGATATGTTGATTCTGATTCTCATACTATTGAAGAAATATTTCTTGGTTTAGTCCAAGTTATTGGAAGAAAGGATGCGCAAACTTTATGTGAACAACTAGTTTTAAAATCTAAATTGATAGATATCCAGCAACTGCGCTTCCATGGCTTTGAAGGAACTAACACAATGAGTGGGGTGCGTAATGGTTTACAAGCTAAGCTAAAAAAAATTTCTCCCCACTCAATGTACATTAACTGTCGTTGTCATTGTTTAGCTCTTGTTTGTGTACACTTAATGAAAGAATTTGATGTCCTAGTTAACGTTGATGCTAATATCTTGGGAGTTTGGAAAGCCATGAAATATTCTAGCGTAAAGGCCTCAATATTTGATGCAGCGCAAAATGCTGATGGTTTAAAACCAGCGAAGTTACTTAAAGCTGCTCCAACGCGCTGGTTATCTCATGGCGCTTCTTCAGTACGACTCGTTTCAAGATTTGAACAAGTTATAAACAGCCTTGATGCAATTGTTAATGAGAAGTACGATGCGGAGCTGGAAGGTCTAACATATCAATTACTTGTTCCTGATAATATACTATTTTTGCTTTTACTGGCTGATGTTTTAGTACCAATAAATAAATTTGCAAAGTTTTTACAAACGCGAAACCTAGTCTACTCAAAGATAAACTTAAAATTAGACCTTTTAAAAAATGAGCTTAACGATATAGCCAGCGGTAAAAGTCCATTGCTTAACACTCATTCAAATAAATTTCTCAATATATCTAAAGAGCGTCAAGGAGTAACACATCGATTAAGAAAAAATAATTTGTTTAACACGATGTCAACACCAGAAAAAATTGATGAGTTTTTGAAGAAAATAAAAGTGCCATTCATGAGGAGATTAAAAGAAGAAATTGATGCAGCAATGCGAATTAATGACGATGTTTTTTTGGCGTTTGATGCATTTAATGCAACTGGTGAAAATCAAGATCCCAACAAATTTTCAGCTAACGTTAGTAAACTTTCAACATTTTATGGCCATGCAAAACCTGCTGTCATCAACGGCGAAAATATTATTGCACCACCATTGTTTAATCCTATTCAAGATAATGAAGACGATATCCATCATTTTCTCTCTGATTATAGAGAAATCTTATGTAACCTTGAAACAAAAAGGAACCTAAAAATTCAAGTTTTAGTAAAAGAAGGCAAATTAAAGAGTAATAACATCGATATTTATAAGCACGAACACCCGATAACAAGTGATGCTATTTATACTGTTTTCTGTACCGATTATGCGTGTGAGCAGTACTATGATATAATGAAGTTATTTAAATTGTCACTACTCATACCACCTAGCACAGCAAATGTCGAAAGAGGGTTTTCTATGCTAAACTTAATACATTCAAAACAAAGAAATCGGCTTAGTATAATAGCACTTGATCGCCTTATGCAAATTTCTTTGGTTGGACCAGGAAATTTAACAAACCAAACATATGAAGAGCTGACTGACATTTATAGAGACTCGGGTGAGAGACGAATTGACTTATGAAATGTCAATCCTTTCTAATAAATTTTAAATAAATCTTGTTAGTTTATTTATAAGAAATATATTAATATATAAATCTATTGTTTACTAAATGTTGTAGTTATAAAGCTTTTCTTGCGGGAGTAGCAGTAAGGAAATAAATTGGATCTCATTCTTTTATGCAAATAAAAGAATGAGATCCAAAAAAAAAAAAAAAAAAAGGTCCTCCAAATACAGACAAACCGGTATGCCCAAAAAAACTCTGGATACGTCACTGTATATATATATATATATATATATATATATATATATATATATATATATATATAGGGCTTATTCTAGGAAAAAAATTTGGGCGTACCCTCACATTTCGGGCAGACTTTTGCAGAAAACCAGAGTTTTTTTTGCAAAAAAAGCAATATTTGTTATTAAAATGCAAAAAAAATGTATTAAAAAAAAAAGTCTTCAAATTTAATTTGGGCGGCGCTCAAATCGGCGCCTAAATACGGTCGACACTGTCAAAAACGGTCTAGAATAGCCCCTGATATATGTATATATATATATATATATATATATATATATATATATGTATATATATATATATATATATATATATATATATATATATATATATATATATATATATATATATATATATATATATATATATATATATATTAGGGCTGTCCAAAAAAAATTTTTTTTTCAGATTTGATTGCATAGTTGTTTATTTTGTGCCATTTGACATATTAATTAACTGTGCAAAAAATCTTTCCGATCAGATAATGTTTAGGGGGTGCTCAATGACCATAAAGTTTTACGAAAAATGTGAAAAACATGGAAAAAGTAACAAAGTTCCACAAATTTCTAAAACCCGGTTAATTTGCTTTTTCAGATTTGATCAGTTTTAATTATCTCTAAATATTAAATTCTGAATACAAATTACAATCCACATCCACTTTATACTGGTTTATTAGCAGAGAAATTAATGAAATAAAATACTGCAATACGACTAAAGTTCTGCGGTTTTTGTTATATCAGAATTTTTCCAAAATAAAACGCTAAGATTTTTGACTCTTTGTCATTGATTAAAATACGAATTATAAACAAAAAAAATTATTGTAAAGGAGTAACAGTTTCTCAAACCGTTATCAACTACTAAGTAGGTCAACTCAAAAACATATGAGCAATTAACATTTAATTATCGTAATGTTATAGTTCGTGCAATGTTAATGCTAGCGAGGACTATAACTCTTCAGAGTACACTTTCTGGCATCTGGCACTCGCTTTCTGTGATCCTCAACCACCTGAATTAACCTCTGCATTTCAGATTCATTCCTTGTAATCGATTCATTAAACATCGACATTAAAGCCACAGATCGTTCGGCAGCATCATTTACTACTTTCAATGAATATACTAAATTTTTTCCTTCTTGGTATTCTGGGGAATCATTCCAGGTAGCTGGATCGTTGTTGAACAGAAAATCAATATCAACCTTCATTGACCGCAACGCACTTGCTGAAACTGATGTTACCAGCATGTCCAGAGATTTCTTCTCTAGACTTTCAATGTTCTTTAATTTGATCAACCTTTCAGACCAGTTCTCACCGTGAAATTTCATGTTGGAAATCATTTTTCGCTTCTCTTCCGTTTTAAGTTTGTTTGAAAACAAAGCTAGTGGGACCAATTCTGAAGAAAGGTACCACAAATGGTTTTGAAATTTCTTGACTGCTGCTTCGGAAATCGTTTTATTCACAACTGCAAACTGCTTAAGTTGCTGAAACAGAAACAAGTCATTAACTGGAGCATCGCTGGCATTTGGGCATGATATCCAAGATTTTACATAAACCAGACTAGCAAATAAGCAAAATTCACAGAGATTTTTTTCCTCTTTTGTGGTCAACTTGAACTCTTCACGAAATAAATAAATCTTAAAACAATAAATAACCTTGGCCATCCAGCAAGCCATGTGATAAGCACCAGGGATCTTGAAATGATAATTTTTCTCTTCTTGATCAGGCAGTTTTCCAAGTATTAACAGACAGAGATCCATGATTTCTTTGTAGTCATCCCTTGGCATTTTAACATGCAGGTTTTCTTTGAGGAATGCCATCACTTCATTTTGTAGTTTTTGCACCAGGGGTATTTTCATTCGAATGTCATCCAGAGGTTTAAAATTTCCTTGATTAACTTTGGGCCAATATTGCTGAAATCTCTGGAAAAAAGGTATGTTGGGACCAGATGATGGTCCAAATAGTGATCCAAACACTCCTGCTACTATGATCTCATGAACATGGTGTCTGCAAGCAAAATATAACAAATTTCTACCTATATGTTTCTCTAGAACTACACATGCACCATTTTCGGAGCCAGTGTTAGAGGCTGTAGTATCAAAACTCATTCCAATAACATCACCAATTATGTCCCAGAAATTAAGCAGATGAATAACTGCTTTTGCTTGGGCTTCTCCAGTTCTAGCTGATAGTTTTGCTATTCCAAGTATTTTGTCAACATTGTGACCTGTCACACCTACAGATAGCCGGTCAACATTTGCTTTAGGGTCTGCAGAATTTGTACGATCTATCATCAGTTTGCCATCCCAGTGGACGATTAATGGTGGTTTGTCCAAATCGCAGAATTCAGTTCGAACAGTGGCTTCAATGTTTGATCGATGATAGGTTCGTTTTCTACGGACTGTAGAACGTGACAATGATCCATCATCGAGGTTCTGTCAACCAGCCCTTGCAATTGCTGCTGCTAGTATAGTAAATTTTGTGTCAGATAGATTAATTCTGTCTAATGTTGATGAAACATCAGGCGAGTCAAGAATTGTATCTAAGATACATTGTCGTTTTGGAGTACTTGCTAAACTTGATTCAGCTGACCCTGAAGAACTTGCTTTACTGACTTGTTGTCTGTAATAAACAGGGATTTCTATCTCAAAATCTCTATCAACCATTTTGTCATTATCAACAGCATCGTTATCGTTGTCATCACTATAACTTTCGTCATGTAAAGGTTCAATAACAGGAACTATTGCACTCACACCAGATTGTCTTTGCTCTTCTTTCAGCTTTCGTTCTCTATCTGCTTGTTTCCTTGCTTCATTTCTTGCTTCTAATTTTGAAAGTTCTTTGTCCTCTCCAAACATCACCATTTTTCTCTGACATCTCTGATCCAATAAAAGTTCTTTATCTTCTTCAATTCTGATCATGGTTTCAGCATCCTTGTGGGCAATGTCAAAAAGTAGGCCAATGGTGTCTGTAAATGATTTCTCTCTTGATTTCTGAGAATCTGACAATCTGGATTTTTTTTTTTTTATTAATTTAAATTCCTGGACTAAAGTTTTCAACTTTAAGACTACATTCGGATGAAATGCTGTCGGAATACGGGCTTTATTCCAAATAATAATCAGTTCATCAACAGTTGTTTTAAGACTTTCAGGCACTGACTTTTTGGTTGAATTAAGATGATAAAAAAATGTTTTTAAAACATCAGATGTTAAGGGAAGAACTTTATCTGGAAGATTTGGCTCTGGTTGTCCAATTAAAAAGATTTCGGTTTGAAGTCGTGTAGAGATAGCAACACGAGATGATGCTGCCATTTCAATGATAACTGAAAAATTATGAGAAAATCAAAACTCAATACCATATTATACAAACTTATCATTCAGTTGTTGGTTTATGCAGCTGCAGCAATATATAATAATAATTATTACTAAAGAAATTAAATAAATATTTTCAAATTAGAAATTATTATTATCTGCACTTAATAACAAACAATACACTACCAGACTACCATGCTAGTTTTCTGTAATAGGTTACTAAGGTTAGGTACTATCAAAATATTAATACATTTGTTGTCAAACTGAAATTCCAAATAAAAATAATATTTATACTTGTAAACCTTTTTATTCTGTTTGAACAAATTCTAAATTGAGTTAAATAATAGTATTAAAATTATGAATACAAATTTTAACAAAATGATATAAACACAGTTGTTTTAAACACTAGCAGACATTTTTTAGTCTGGCGCCCTGATGACAGTTAATCTGCTGCACTTTAATTAATCTATATAGCACGCAATCAGACAATATTTCAGTGGAAAAAATCTAACTAACCAGGTTCTAGAAATTTTTGGAACTTTGGAACTTTTTCCACGTTTTTGACGTTTTTCGTAAAACTTTATGGTCATTGAGCACCCCCTAAACATTATCTGATTGGAAAGATTTTTTACACAGTCAATTACTATGTCAAATGGCACAAAATAAACAACTACGCATTCAAATCCGAGAAAAATTTTTTTTTCCTGTGTTCACATGAACAGCCCTAATATATATATATATATATAAATTTTATTTATTTTGAGAAGTGAATTCAAGACAACCTTAAGAAAAATATTTATTATGCATATATAATAATTTTAATTTCAGGGATGTTTTTGATACTTGTTTATGTAAAACTATAAATGGGTTTTAGATAAGGACTGTGTATTCACACTAAAATAGCCTGTTGTCAGGGGCTTCAGTACGTACATTGACTACTTTACAACCTGCTGCCACAAAGGTGTGCCATTATATTGGCTGAGGGTTTGGAATGGGGCAGCAATTTTTCCTTTCATTATTTTTTGTTTTTTCTTCTTTTTTTTAAAAAGCGATGCACTGTAAAGATAAGCAAAACTAGTATGCAATTAATGATCTATATATATATATATATATATATATATATATATATATATATATATATATATATATATATATATATATATATATATATATATTTATGGTATTTTAGATGAAAATGCACATAACTGATGCTGTCTGTAGAATATTAGGACCAGTTTTCAAAATATGTTTGCCATATGTTTAAAATGTAGCAAAATTTGTATTTTCAGCATGGAATATTTGCATATACAGCAAAACGCATTTTTTATAACTCTTGTTTATTAAAAAAATTCTAATATTTTCTATTTTAATATTAGTACCCTGTTCGTCCTGCTAGTATGACTTATGAATCAACACCACATCTGGAATGTAGAATGAAGCCCCTTCAGCAAAAGGTATTTAATCAGTTTTTATAACCTATATATAAACACACACATAAACACTGCAATACCTTGGAATTCCCAACGGGATTCAAATTCCCAAAATTTGATTACTCTTTTTTTTAATAAGTAGAAAATGTGGTAAAAAATATTTTCCTGGCAAGCACCCTTTTATATATATATATATATATATATATATATATATATATATATATATATATATATATATATATATATATATAATTTTTTTATTTATTTGCAATAAAATCTTTTGTGTTCTTCAAATACTTAAAACTTAAATTTGAAACTTGAAAAAAAAAGTTTTCCCTTACAGAGCTTTAAGTTAAATACAAAATCAAAATATCGCATTAAGTTTATGAAAATCACTGTGTAAAAGAGCTTAAGATCTACATTTCAAAAAATGAATTCTTATTTTAAGCAAAAAAAAAAAAACTTGTTTTAAGCAATTTTTTCCTTAAAACAAGCAATATTTTACTTGTCAGTATGATAAGCAATTTTTTACTGAGGAAGAATTTTTTTTACTAAGCAAGAATTTATTTTTAAATTCTTGCTTAGTAAAAAAATTCTTGGTTAGTAAAAAATTGCTTACCATACTGACAGGAAAAAAAATTGCTTGTTTTAAGTAAATAATTGCTAAAAACAAGTTATTTTTTGTTTAAATTAGGAATTAATTTTTTGCAGTGTGCACATGATATTTGGAATAACTTCTGCAACAAGCAAAAAAATCTTGTTTTCAGAAAAAGATTTATTTATTTTTATACAAACAAAAATTCTATTTTTTATGATATATACACACTAGTATATGATATATATATATATGGTATATATGCATACTAGTATATGATATATATGCATGCATACTAAGTTTTAAAAATTATGTAGTCTTTCATGACTATGTGGAAATGTCAAAAAAAATAAAACACTGTAGCATATTTAGTTCGATCTTGCAGTCTTTCATATAATCAAAGTTCATTAACGTGGAACTTTTAAAATCAATCAATGTGAAACATTTAAAAAATAGAAGAACTTCTCACAGTAACCAAATAAAGTTTTTATAGGCATTTATGAACTTACATAATTTAGGCAAATTTGGAGATCTTAGACTTTTCTGAGAAACACAACTAAATTATAGTATCAATTTCTTTTTCTAAACACTTTATCAAGTCACTCATAAAACTTTTAGGGTCAGCACCTTCAGATAGCTTCAATATCCTTCTCTATTATTTCCTTCTTTCCTCCTTCTTTTATTATCTGAAAAATAAAAAAAATAGAATGGTTAAAAATATTATATACAGCCCTCGGAATTAAAATTCGTATTAGGTAATGCAGAATTGCAATAATGCAAAAACCTTTTTTATTTGAGGAAGGAGGTCAGCAATTTTTTGCTGACCTCTTTCCTCAAATAAAAAAGGTTTTAGCCTAAAACAATTTAATTAGCATATCAAAGTTTAGAACTAAAACTTCAAAATAATCAGTACCTTAAGGAGCTGTCTAAGGCTAAAAAGTGCCTAATTAATAGAAAGTTTGACAAGCATAATTTTTTAACTACTTAAGTATTACTCCAATTTATTATTTTCAATTTTTATTATTAAGAGAAAAAAAAAAGAGATGTTTCTGCCTTTGCCAATGATGGATATGTTATGACTATAGAATTTGACTTTTCAATAAGCTCCTGCATTATTGGCTTTATTTTGCATTTATCAAAAATAGTTGCATTCATGTTATGTATAGTGCCTCTGATAATTTTATGTACCAGTTTTTCTGGTATTGAATCATTTTTAGACGCAATGTTTTATACCATTGTCTATGCAGATTGTAAACTCCAGTTAAGAAAAATTGTGTATTTACAAATTATCTGTGTTTAAATGTCGAAAATTGGTGTAGAGAATTTAACATGTAATTTTGCAACTGCAAGTTGCAACTGATTACATTGACATAGGATAATTTTCTTAAGAACTGCTTGCTATGTCCAAACTCGAACTCATAAAGGCTTTTGTTAATTTACAACTCTAAAAAACATATAGGGCCAGCTTGCTAACATACAAAAATGAGTGAGAAATTAAAAAAATACTTTTATATTTATTACAAATAACAATATAACATATATGTAACATATATGTATGCATTTACTTTATATAATATATATATATATATATATATATATATATATATATATATATATATATATATATATATATATATATATATATATATATATATATATATATATGTTAAAATATGGTTAGAATTCAATAAATACGGCTGTGTATAAACTTTTTTTTAAATATATATACTTTTTCTTTAATATATAATTATTTCGATATCAGATCAGCGAAATATCGAAATAATTATATATTTAAGAAAAAATATATATATTTATACTTTCAAAAATAACAATATAACATATGTAACATATATGTATGCATTTACTTTATATAATACATATATATATATATAAATATATATATATATATATATATATATATATATATATATATATATATATATATATATATATATATATATATATATATATATATATATATATATATATATATGCTAAGTAACCAGTTGATAATATCATTGGTTTTACTGGTTACCGATAACCTTGTAAAATGGTAACTTATTAAGGTTACTTATTAACTAATGGCAGCTTATTAAGATTAGTTAGGAACTTATAGCTTACTAGCATTAAAAAAAATTTTCATTTTATTATCAAACATAATCACAAACAAATATTGTTTTAGTAAACACATCTATCAAAAGTTCGTCCTATAGTTCTTTAGAATTTAGTTAATTTTTATATGAGCTAATAATTTACCTTAAAACTCAACTTTGGCTATAAAAAATTGACTTGTGCATAGTTTTCTATTTTTTTATTACGTAGTCAGTCAGCCTTTCTTAGTTGCACTTGTGCCAAATTTGCCATACCACCCCTGAAACTTTTTTTCATGACAATTTGTCAAGCAGGTAAACTTGCTGCCTTCATGTGGCGCATCACTTCACCACCTCCAAAAGTCGCCCTACATAGAGTTTATTAGGTGAAGCTTTTAATGCGATACATTGTATCATATATGCAGATTTATTAACTTTCATTTATATATGAGTTATTATACTGTTTCAAAGTTTCCGTTGAGGTTTAATTCTAAAAAATATGCATTATAATTTATAAAAATAATAATATTTTTAAGAAAGTTTTTTTTTTTGTTAAATGATAGTTTTTTTTTTGTTAAATGATGGATAACTTTGCCAAATATAATTGCATAATAAAAAAAACAAACCATTAACGACTTTACTTTGAAATTACTATTATGGAGACAACCCATTTTTTAAATAAGTTTCAAGCATATCATGTAAATAGTCTGAAGTCTACCAAAGTTAGGTTTTGCTAATATAATAGTCTTGTAGACTTGTTTTTCATGTGATAAAAGACCTTGATGACAATAAATATTTACCCATCAAATTTTATACAGATGATTTATTAGAAGAGCATATGAAATGTAGGAAGCCGCTTCACAAATAGATTTTATGCAGTTACTTTATGCAGTTGTTTTAATAAGAAAAAACAAGTTATAATTAAAAAGTTTGATTTTTTAATTATTTAGATATATTTTTTTACTTATTTTAAAAGTATATATATACTAAGAATACAAAAGTAGAGAATATAAAAATAGAAGTTTTAAAAGAGCAAAGTAGGAATATATAAGTTCTTGTTTCAAGAAACAGTTTTCTTGAAATTTAGAGCGAATATAAAATTTTGAAATATAAAGTAAAATTTTTCTAAAAACAAGAATTTTTTTATACTTACTAATTAAAAAATTGCTTAAATTCTTATTTACATAATTATTTGCTTAAAACAAGTAAAAAAAAGTTTTAGGTAGGAATCACACTTTTTACTTATAAGTAAAAATAGTAACATGTAACCCAGTACAATCTTCTTCATGTCCTGCTGCCTTGTAGGATATGCCTTTTTAGGCAAAGGCTAGGAGATGCAAACTCCGACATAAAACACCCCCTGCCTTAGGGCTCTTGATTGAGTAAAGGCTAGAGATGGTGTCTCGATAAAAATACTCATCTTGGGCAGATGTTAAATGCATCCGGCTGCTGTCTTGTAGAAGGCCTCCTAGGCAAAGACTTAAGGGGTAAACAGATTCTATCTGTTGACCAGCCTCGCACCCCTTCTTCATCTATTAGGCTGGTGCAGATGTATTTTTAAGACATTGTTTCCAGTTTAGGATGTTGAACGCTAGATCTTCTTGACTCGATTCATGGGTTTTGCTTGTGTCTCTGTTTTTATGACTAGGCAACTCATTCTAGTATCTCCAAATGAGGGTTCAGCTCTAAAACTCAGTTTTATGGTTCTGAGGCCGGCTGGTAGTCAGGTTTCCCGAACTCTGTGGTAGCTCTCAGAGAGGCTGATTCCATCAACAGCTGAAAAATATCAGAGTACTAACAGTGCCATGTTGCGCATGGATGGTGTCCCTGTTTGTACTTTTGGTGTGCATTGCCAAGGCCACATTGGAGCCATTTGTTACGGCTTAGGGTTTATTAGTGGAAATGAGGCAATTGCTTGAGCTATAAAACTTTACTGAGTACTATCTATGTTTCGAGTCAAGTTCTTTAACAAATTTAAAAATGAATAAAGTAACAAAATCTATAAAACACAAAAAACCACAGTCATCACCAAGTTCGCTAAACTTATCATTCACCAATATTCGTGGTCTTCGAAGTAACTTTTTTTCTGTTGAGTCTTATCTCTTGCAAAGTTCACCAGACCTACTTGCTCTTTGTGAGACTAATTTATGTTCAGCTGTCTTATCTTGTGATCTTAGTGTTGATGGTTATCTTCCTTTAATTCCTAAAGGCTCCAATAGTCACATACTTGGCCTAGGCATTTACATTCGTAAGAATTCACCCATTTGTCGGGAAACTAGGTTTGAATCCACAGACTACTCTTTTATGTGCTTTCGTTTAGCACCACTTTACTCTATCAC